ATACCAAGGTGGGCTCGAGTGGTCTCTGTTTCCATTTGGTCTCGGTATTACATTTCCTTTGGCATGGAGTAGTTTTGCAGGTTATTAGAAGTTGTTGTTAATGTAGGTAACTGGGAGAAACTGTGCTGCATCAGTGAGAAGAGCTTCTCAGCCTTTGGTTTTGCCTTTGTTTATAGTGGCTTTGATCAGAGCCTAATCAGAACTCCAGAATTACCTGAGAGAAAGCTGCTGAGGATAAAGTTTAAGGAAGTGCTTTTACTGAAAGCAACTCCCTTCATTCATCAGAGGAATTTGATTTCATCCTGTGAATAAATTGGCTTAGAAATTTTGTTTCTTTGGGGACCAGCTTGTAGAATTCTGCATGAAAACTGTGTCATGGTGGAAAATGGGCTATTTGCTTTATTCTGTGTGGGCCGGCTCTGATGGTAAGATAGCATAGCTATGTTTTTCTACCCTGGAACATGGAGGTATCTTTACCAGGGTTTGTGGGGGGAAGTGAGTCAAGAGGATCATTAAGGGATATTGGTAAAAAATTATATATGTAACATCAGAGAATCTTTCATAGCTGTTCTTTAAAAAATTAACTTTGGGCCAGATTATTTTCAACACAGACATCTGAATCATCAATCCTTGAAAATTGTTTTTGATCCGTTTGTATTTTCTGCATTGCGCAGAAAGGAAGAGCTGAGTGCACATGCATACCCAGTGTCCAAGAATAGCCCATCTGTTGTATGAGATTACATGTCTCAAGACCAGATTGTTGAAACACTTAACTTAGTCTTTCCAAAGATGCAGGTGACGCATTTCAGAGATCTCCTGTTCCCAGAGCCCTGGGGCCAGGTGGGTTGTGGTGAGGAGATCCTCCCCCTTTACTAACCAGGTGTAGTGTCTGTAGCCAGTGCAGCCAGAGGCCTGTGGAGCCCTGTAGAGTGGGAGCGCCATCGAACTCTTCTGGGCTAATGTATGCTCTTTGCTGCCTTTGTAAATCTGTGGCTTTCTGCCCCTTCCCCATCATACTGTTTTAATTTGCATTGGCCTGAACGGTAGAAATAAAATCGCTGAATTCAAATGATGTTTTCTTTCATGTATTGATAAGATGATCAGTTCCTTAGACTGTGTTGATTCGTTGGGTGAGGAGTTGAGGTAGCAGTGTTACCAACAATAAATCACACTGGTGGAATAAAAGATTATTTTCATGTTAGATGCTCACAGGTGAAAATACAGTCTGTCCGTTGTCTGAGCCCTGCTGCCCTTTTTCTACCTGCCAGGCTTGGAGGACTCTGTGCAGACAGTATGTCCGTTTTGGTCACCATCGTTCATGCCCTTCACGTCTTTAGAACACCTCGGCCGTCTCTCACAGCCCCACCAGTCTTTTCTGTACCAGTTCAGATTTTACTTCTGCTCTGACACTATTCCCAGTCTATCCCAGATCTGAATGATCTCCTCTCCTTTCTCTGGATCCGCGGAAGTGGTCTATGCCATTTATTGTCTGGTCTAGTTATTGTTTAAGTTTAAAATACTGTGTCTTTAATAAATTATTAGATTCCCAACTTCAAGTGCAGTGCGCTTTTTCTATTTTGTTTCATCACATTGTCTTAGATGTAAGTATGTATTTGATTTGGCTGGTAGACAGGTTCTCAATTCTAAGAACTGGAGACTACAGTAATAAAAAAAAATGGTTAAGGTCTCTGAAATATTATGAAGGAAGAAGAGAATTTAGCTGCTCTGGAACTGGGGCCATCAAATGGCCTACCTTTCTCTTTTATTCAGCCTTAAAGACTATGTTGTGCTTGTTGAGTTTGATGTAGTCATTTCAAAAGACACTTCTGCAGTAAAGAAAAGGGCATTACTTCAGGTTTTGACAGAAATCACACAGAGGAAATGAAGACTCACTCTGGTGGGTCTGTATTTTGTTGTCAGGTTCATAGGATGATAATTCCTATTTATAGTTAAATACTCTGATACATTATTTGTGCACATTACTAGCTTTAAGTTTCTGTAAATTTATCTGGATTTCACAGATGAATGAATTGAATAAACGAGGACCTTTGGACTCTTAATTTCTTTTTGTAAAGAAGAACCCAAGTAAAACATTAAGAAATTTTACTTTAACATTTAATAATATGAAAATAGAAACACTGGGTTTTGAAAGATTATTTTGTTTCAATTCAGTGGCTCAGTGAAACAGAGAGTAGTGTTTTTTTGTTACTCGAGTTTTTTTTGTTTGTTTTTTTTTATTACTCTAGTTTTTATAGTGCATCCTTTCTGGCCTGATTGGAAAGTAAATTCCTCTGAAAAATTCTCTTTGAGGAATTTCTCTTATGGGGAAAATGCTTCCTGGTTAGATCCCCTCGTTTTGTTCTCCCTCTCCCCTCTGTAGAGCGATGAGTCTTACTATTGAGGATGAATCTCCTTAATGCAGACGTTTTAACCAGCTGCTGATGGTAATTCATAGCTTTGAAAATCCATTCAGAAATTTAACATGGTGAGAAGTATGAGGTATTGAGGACATTTAGAAAATGCTCTGCTTTCTGTTAGATTACAATGTGTATTTCCAATCCTTTCTCCTATTGGAACTGAGAAAACTTGTGGTAACAAAGATTTTGCTTCCTTCGCTAGTGTCACACTATGAAATTATTTCCTTATATTATCGTATAACGTATAATTATTATACAGTGTTGTATTATTAGTTTTGGTGGTGTTCGGTATATGGTTGTTTGAAATGAAATGCCTCTCTGTTCTTCTCATAGGTAGAGAGAGTAGTTTTGGTTATGAATAGTGCTGGTAGATCTGTGTCTTACAGGGCATTCCAGATTACAGAGCAAGAAACATTTCCTCTTGGGTAGGGGGTCGGGAGTGTGAGGTCGGGGATGGGAGGGTGAAGCAGACGCTGACAGAGCTGTTGACAGTATGAACTTGAGCAGCCATGGTGATGCTGGATCACTGGCATTTCTGTGTCCTGTGAAATGTGTGCCATCTTGGGAATGTTACCACTTCTTGCCCTGGGTGTTTTGTAGAGGTGTTAAAAACGAGAACACCCTCCTCTTACCTTCCAGTTGAGGTGCTCTTTGGGGAGCTAGTGTCTTGATTAAACAAGTCACATAAACAATGCCGGAAGCTTGGTGACAGGTTCTAAAAGAGTTCTCAGAAGTTGGCATTATGTTTTAGTTCAGCATTTATTTGTGACAAAGAATCGAGAATTCTTCTGGAGTGTTTTCCTTTCTGAAGTAGTTGACCTATGTGAAGCTAAATGTTAGGTTCTGTGTTTTTATTTTTCCAATACAAGTAGCTCAGTAAAGCTTAAAGATAAAAGGAGTTACTGTTTAAAGGAACATTTTTTTCCTCCTCTGCTTCAGTTTTGAAAGGATTAGTATTGCCAAATTATTAGAATGGGTGTTTAGATTGTGCTGTTTGAGTAGCTTAGTTGCCCACGAAGAACACTGGTTCCCATCAGATTTAAACTCTGAAGATATTGTGAAGTCTTGAACATACCCCGTCTTCTACTTTTTCTTTGTGGTCTTCAGATCATTAAATTTAGTGACTCAGCTAATTCTTTTTACCCACCTCTTAGAAAAGTTGAACGTGTTTGTGACCAGTCACTTAAGGTTATTTCCTTTAAACCAAGTGTTGAGACGTTTTTAGATTTATAACAGTCTTTGTTTACCGTGTAATTCAGTCCAATTGAGGAACTAGTAAAACTGCATTATCCAGACATCAAAGACAGACATGTAAGAAGAGTATACTTAGACCAGGGAAACTATTAGGTTTCTAACAAGTGGAAAGGTACCAGATGTCCAAAAATTAACCACTCCTATGCTAGCTAATTCTCATTTCTTACAGCTTTTTTAGTTTAGCCAGCAGCATTCTGGGTTTAAAATAGCAGTTGCTACATTCTTGAGAGTTGAGAGTGTTTTCTTTTCTTTAGCGTCATTCAGATAACTGAGACTTTGACTTGAATGGACTAAATAGAAATCCTGCCATTAAAAAATTGTTAAGTGACAGGGCGTTGAATGGACTATACTTTTTAATTTAGTTCAGAATTGAGCCACTGTTTTTATTTCTTGAGGTTTACGAGCAGGTTGTGGTTTCGTATTCCTGAGATGATTATTTAACCCACTTTCCAGAGGGTAAGTGGGATGATTTGCCAGCTGCATGTAGCATTTGCCTGAAGTAGGACCCGTGTTACCAAGTTGCATTTCATGATTGGTCAAGTGGGTGACCTTGGGTCCTGCCAGACCCTGAGGTGAGGGATTGTAGAGAAAGTCTCTGGTAGGGGAGCACCCTTGACTTCTTTAAACTTCCGTCGGCATTCCTACCTGACTCTCCTCATTATGTGTGCTACTGAGTAATGTGCAAAAAGCAGTTTGATTTTGTACAAATCTTTCCTTTTCAGGTATTTCAGAGTTGTATGTAAACATGCGTTAGATATTCATAAGCATCTTATAATTTTACTTATGTAAACAATCACCCAGGGAGGTGGAGGGTCGGGAGCCTGGGTTTTTCTCTTTCCCAAAGATACTGTGCTTGTTCCTGCTGAAGTCTGGTGCTCAGCTTTTATAGGAGCAGGCCATTAGGTTATCTGGAGGCTGTTGCTTGCAGGCTCTGAGATTTCTCTTTTGAAAATGGTCAGTTTTTACATACCATCTAGCAACATTTGTCTCCAGTAGAGGGCTTGACTTTCTGGTTTATCAAAGGAAGCCATGGATGTTTGGGAAAGGTCTTTGACCTTTCAAAGTTATCATCACAGGGGCCAGCTGCTCTCCCATTTGTTACCCCCTTGTATCAGTCAGAGTAACATGTGGTGGTCTGACTTCCTGTGGCATTTCTTGTGAGACAGGTTCACAGAAGTATATTAAGGTTGTAGAAATGCTGGGTTCCTACCAAGCATAAATGAGATTCAAAAGAAGATTGCTCTGTTTATTTTAAGATCTTCTCTTTGGGAATGTCTCAGGAGACTGTTTCTTTGGCTACAGGTTTGGCAGCTACACAGTCATATTTACCTGTGTAAGTAGACTGCGGTGCGGTGTAAACTGTAGGAGCCAGAAGACCATTTATGTAGAGGCGGCCAAAGATTACGCATTTTCATTACTTCAGCTGGAAGGTTGCTGAAGACTTCATAAGACATTATCATAACTTTTCATTACTTCAACTATTCAGCCTTTAGGTCCTTTAAGGTGCCACCACTTCTCAGCCACACTCTGTGGCTCCCTGTAGCCTTTGGGGAAGAATCGAAGCTCTTTGAAAGTGGCTTCATCTGGTCCCTGCTTACCTGCTAATGCATCTCCCCCATCTCCCCCACACGCTCTGTTTCAGCTGATTCTCCCGTGGGCTGCGCCCTTTTCTGGGGAGAGAGGAGTCTCTGCACATCTCATCCCCTCCACATCTCTCCCGAGGTGGAACTTCCTACTGCAAGGCTTTCCTAAGTCTAAAAGGCTGAGTTTGGGGGCTCTTTAATATGGTCTAAGAGTCATTCATTAATTCAATTAATTATTTGAATTGAATTGAATTATTTGAATTCAGTCAATTCATTAATTCATTCCTTTAGTAAATATTTGTGTCAAACATGACATCATAGCCTGCAGACACAGAAGTGAACAAGGCAGGGTGATAGGTTCTGTCCTCACAGAGTTTATGTTCTTGTCAGGGAAACAAGCCCCGTATTCACACACACAACGCTCCCCCTGCTTTTTTTTTTTAAGCTTTTTATTTAGAAATAATTACAAACTTTAAAAAATGAAAACAATACAAAGAAATATCCTGTGCATTTTACTCAGATTCACCTATTGTTAATATTTTACTTCATTTGCATTATTCTTTCTCAATATACAGATGTAATTTTTTTTGAACCAGTCATGACCATTATGGTCTTTTCCCTCTTAATACTTCAGTGTGCATTTCCTAAGAAAAGAGCTCTTCTCTCATGTGATAGTTATAAACTGCATAAATTTACACTGATAAAATACTTTTTATCTAATTCTAGTCATAGTATAGTGTCATTAATTGATCTAATGATGTGCTGTGTAGCCTTCCTCCTCCAGCCCCTCCACCCCCAACCCATATATAATTCAGTTCAGGATTTGATAGTCGCACTTACTTATAATGCCTCTGTAGCCTCCTGTTGTCTGGAATATTTCTTTACAAAGCCATTCTTTGTCTAGTATGACATTGATTTTTTTTTTAAACAGGACCCCACCACCACCACCATCACCTTAATAGAATCTTTCTCATTTTGTGCTTGTCTGGCGTTTCCTGGTGATAAGGCAGAGGTGTAAGGCACTCAGGCCATCATACTGCGCGCGGATGTTGTGTCCTCCAGGGGTGTCATATCTGGAGGCCCCTGGTGTCCTTCTGGCCTCTTTGATGGTGATCGTTTTCACTACTCTGAGTGTTGTCCACTATCTCCACCGTATAATTAGCATTTGTTTTTCTTCTTCCCTTTGCATCTTTTAAGTAGTCTATCAGGAGAATCCTCACTTCTGTATAAAATCCTGCTCCTAATCAAAATTTCCCCCCTAGGTTAGTGTTAAGTGATAATTGTCTGATGCAGTAGTATGAACCCAAGCTCCTATTTTTTGCAGTAGATTGTAATTCATTTCTGTACTTAATCATTTTGGTGTCCAGAGTGTCCCGGATTTGACCAGTCGGTGCCCCTTCAGACCGGTTTCTGTGTCCTGGTGAGGTACCCTATCATCCTTTCAAGCACTTCCTTCCCTCCTGTGTCCTGGTGAGGTACCCTATCATCCTTTCAAGCACTTCCTTCCCTCCTTGTACAACAGGTTGTTACAGGCTCATATTGTGCACTCTTCCCCTAGCCCTGGAGGCAGCCATCTCTCCACGGAGCGTACAGGCCCTTGTTTTGGTCCTCAGCACATTGCTTCCTGAGGTGTCTCCCTCCAGTCGATGATACAGTACCTCTCTGAAGGCACACAGATGTCAGCCTTAGTTTACTTGCTCTTACAGTTTCACCTAGCTTAAGGCCTGGTATATTTGATATTTACTATATTTATTTGTTGAAGAAGAAAATTGGGTTTTGCTTGTTGGTGATTAAAATTGGGTTCAAAATTATGATACTGATTGGTTTTCTTTTCTTCTCTCTCCCGTCCAGGAAGAAATGTTGGCTATTCGGCGATGAAAAGTGGCAAAAACTGACCTCGTACTGGTATACAGACACTATGAGATCTGACACTTTTGCTTCGTGGGCAGCCAGCCCCCACTGATAATGTGGGGAAGCCTTTGGGTCCACAGGAAAACACTAATCTGATCTTGGAAGTGGCAGATTGTGGCAGGATGTGTCGACGATGATGATGGCAAGAAAGCAAGATGTCCGCATTCCCACCTACAACATCAGCGTGGTGGGATTGTCTGGGACGGAGAAGGAGAAGGGCCAGTGTGGCATTGGGAAGTCTTGTTTGTGCAACCGCTTCGTGCGCCCGAGCGCGGACGAGTTTCATTTGGACCATACCTCTGTCCTTAGCACCAGTGACTTTGGTGGGCGAGTGGTCAATAATGACCACTTTCTCTACTGGGGAGAAGTCGGCCGTTCCCTGGAGGATTGTGTGGAATGTAAGATGCATGTTGTGGAGCAGACCGAATTCATTGATGATCAGACATTTCAACCTCATCGGAGCACAACCCTGCAGCCGTATATCAAGAGAGCTGCTGCAACCAAGCTTGCATCAGCTGAAAAACTCATGTACTTTTGCACTGACCAGCTGGGGCTGGAGCAGGACTTTGAGCAGAAGCAAATGCCAGATGGAAAGCTGCTGATTGATGGTTTTCTTCTTGGCATTGATGTTAGCAGGGGCATGAATAGGAACTTTGATGACCAGCTCAAGTTTGTCTCTAATCTCTACAATCAGCTCGCAAAAACAAAAAAGCCTATTGTGGTTGTCCTGACGAAGTGTGATGAGGGTGTTGAGCGGTACATTAGAGATGCGCATACTTTTGCCTTAAGCAAAAAGAACCTCCAGGTTGTGGAAACCTCTGCAAGATCCAATGTAAATGTGGACTTAGCTTTCAGCACCTTAGTGCAACTCATTGACAAGAGTCGGGGAAAGACAAAAATCATTCCGTACTTTGAAGCGCTCAAGCAGCAGAGCCAACAGATAGCTACAGCAAAAGACAAATATGAGTGGCTGGTGAGTCGCATTGTGAAAAACCACAACGAAAACTGGTTGAGCGTCAGCCGAAAGATGCAGGCCTCTCCCGAGTACCAGGACTATGTCTACCTGGAAGGGACTCAGAAAGCCAAGAAGCTGTTTCTCCAGCACATCCATCGCCTCAAGCACGAGCACATTGAGCGCAGGAGGAAGCTGTACCTGGCAGCCCTGCCCTTGGCTTTTGAGGCTCTTGTCCCCAACCTAGACGAAATAGACCACCTAAGCTGCATAAAAGCCAAGAAGCTGCTGGAGACCAAGCCAGAGTTCTTGAAGTGGTTTGTGGTGCTTGAGGAGACGCCGTGGGATGCCACCAGCCACATTGACAACATGGAGAATGAGCGGATTCCCTTCGACTTAATGGACACCGTCCCTGCAGAGCAGCTCTACGAGGCCCACTTAGAGAAGCTGCGGAACGAGAGGAAACGGGCTGAGATGAGAAGGGCGTTTAAAGAAAACCTGGAGACCTCTCCTTTCATCACTCCTGGCAAGCCTTGGGAAGAGGCCCGCAGTTTTATTATGAATGAAGATTTCTACCAGTGGCTAGAGGAATCTGTTTACATGGATATTTATGGCAAACACCAAAAGCAGATTATAGACAAAGCGAAGGAAGAGTTTCAGGAGCTGCTGCTGGAATACTCAGAGTTGTTTTATGAGCTGGAGCTGGATGCCAAGCCCAGCAAGGAGAAGATGGGTGTCATCCAGGATGTGCTTGGGGAGGAACAGCGGTTTAAAGCGTTGCAGAAGCTCCAGGCAGAGCGGGACGCCCTAATTCTAAAGCACATTCATTTCGTGTACCACCCAACCAAGGAGACGTGTCCTAGCTGCCCCGCCTGCGTGGACGCTAAGATTGAGCACTTGGTTAGTTCTCGGTTTATCCGACCATCTGACCGGAATCAGAAGAATTCACTCTCCGACCCCAACATTGATAGAATCAACTTGGTGATCTTGGGCAAGGACGGCCTTGCCCGGGAGTTGGCCAATGAGATTCGAGCTCTTTGTACAAATGATGACAAGTATGTAATAGACGGGAAAATGTATGAGCTCTCCCTGAGGCCAATAGAAGGGAACGTCAGGCTTCCCGTGAACTCTTTCCAGACACCAACGTTTCAGCCCCATGGTTGTCTCTGCCTTTACAATTCAAAGGAGTCTCTGTCATATGTGGTAGAGAGTATAGAGAAGAGCAGAGAGTCCACACTTGGCCGGCGAGATAATCACTTAGCCCATCTCCCCCTGACCTTAATCTTGGTTAACAAAAGAGGAGACACCAGTGGAGAGACGCTGCACAGCCTAATACAGCAGGGTCAGCAGGTGGCCAGCAAGCTTCAGTGTGTCTTTCTCGACCCTGCTTCCGCTGGCATCGGTTACGGGCGCAACATCAACGAGAAGCAGATCAGTCAGGTTTTGAAAGGTCTCCTGGACTCCAAGCGTAACTTAAACCTGGTCAGTTCTACCGCTAGCATCAAAGACCTGGCTGACGTTGACCTGCGAATTGTCATGTGTCTGATGTGTGGGGATCCTTTTAGTGCAGACGACATACTCTTTCCTGTCCTTCAGTCTCAAACCTGTAAGTCTTCCCACTGTGGAAGCAGCAACTCTGTTTTACTTGAACTCCCAATCGGACTACACAAGAAGCGCATTGAACTGTCTATTCTTTCATACCATTCCTCATTTAGCATCCGGAAAAGCCGATTGGTCCATGGGTACATTGTTTTCTACTCAGCCAAACGTAAGGCCTCCTTGGCTATGTTACGTGCCTTTCTCTGTGAAGTGCAGGATATTATCCCCATTCAGCTGGTTGCACTCACTGACGGCGCTATAGATGTCCTGGATAATGACTTAAGTCGGGAGCAGCTGACCGAGGGGGAGGAGATCGCTCAAGAAATTGACGGGAGGTTCACGAGTATCCCCTGTAGCCAACCCCAGCATA